ACCAGTTCCCCTGGCTGGGTGGTAGTGGACGTTCCAGTGATCCCAGCACTGGAGCAAAGGTCCAGGCAGCTGCTAGCTGAGAACAATGGGGAGCCCCCACCTGTCAGCCAGGGCAGTTTGCACAAATGGCGTTAGCTTGGTTTCATACAGGTCCAACAACATAACTGCAGCTATTACTCATCTAGGCTCAGACAAATTTCAAATTTCGAAAAATGTGGACTGTTTCTGGCAGAAATCACAGCTTTCAGTTGTTATTCTACAAACCTAAGACTTTGGAAATAGGAAGAAAAAGTTTTATTAATCACAAGGTACAGATTGCACCTCCCCACACAAGGGAGAAACCACAACACAGGTATGAAAACCTGGTACAGTTATGCGCTATAAAGAGCGCTTTCCACACAGGCCTTCCTCAGTAGGAAGCAGAATCTTAGAATCTTGTCTTATACCGGTAATCAAACAGATTTAGAATTTAAATGGCAAACATGCCCCAAACAAATTGTGTAGACAAAATTCACAGCAGCAAACCCTTTAGACTCAAACAATATATTTCCAGACTTTGCAAAAATTCAAGCTATCTCCAAGAATCCATTACGGTTACCAACACTTATGTTATTGCTGAAGGCTTAGTGTTTTATATATATACTCAAATCATGAGCCTGAGTTTTGACATCTTTGAAGGGGTCAGTCAGGGGAGAAAGGGGTCGTCATAGTCTGTCCATGTTGCCCAACCAGAAGAGGAAACACGCAGACACAAACAGGAAAACAGACACACACACAGTACAAAAATGCCTTCTGAAGGCTCTGGGCCCCCTCCTCTCACAAAGTGGCCCGTTTCAGTTACCGTAAAAACAGATCCTGGAGACCAATCCTCTCCGACTAGAGACCTCTGGCCTCTGCCTGGAGGCCTATTGCCTCCACCAGGAGAGTCTAGGACATCTCCCTAAACTCTCCTGCAGCGACCTGCCAGCGCGCCCGCCTAAGTCTTTTGCCAACCTAATTCCAGAGTTAGTATTCAGACAAACAAAACACAATGATCAGACAAACAAAACACAGTGATCAACAGGAACACAAAGACTCACAGACTTACTGATCAGTCAGTGCCCTCCAGTGGGAGGTCTTGGTGTCTCAGGGAATCCTGGATGAGCCCCCAAAATGTTGTGCCAGGTTTCGAGTTTCCCAAAGCCCATCAAGGAGCTAATGCCTATGCAGAGCACACAAGAGTCTTTATTGCAAGCTCCAGGCTGGGCTCCAACATGCAGCAATGCAGAGGCTGAAGTTGAGAGCCCTGAGCCCAGGGAAGGCAGTTTTATTACAGAAGAGGGGAGTTTCAGCTCAGCAGAGGGGAGTTTTAGCTCAGCTGTACATTGATTGGTGGACATTGAGCAAAAGTTATTTTGTCATACCCCGGTTGATCTATGCATGTAAGATGTGACCTTCACTACTCGGCCACATACCTTAGGACATCTGGTGCTTTCCTGATATGTACTGGTTATTTGCATACTTGCTAATAATTGACTGTCACTATGGGATGAGCAAGATTAGCACACTTACAGTTAAACTCAGCCTTGGTGCCTTCTTGATAACCAAAACTTAGGCCTGGCTGGTTCAGAAGCAGTCTGAAGCCTATCATGGCTTCATTTCATCTTTCAGTGGCCACAGGGGGCGCTGCGGCGCTGTCCTGGTCCGCCAAGCCAGGGAGAGGCCGGTGGGTGTGACTCAGGCTGAGGTGGGGGTGGGGCTGAGCATCATGAGGGAGGGGGAAGGGTGCCCGGGAGCAGCCCTGGCTCCAGGCTGGGTGGGGGAGGGAGGAGGGGAGGTCTGGGGCTGCCTGCATCTGAGGGCCCCTCTTCTGTCCCCACAGCCTCTGCCTGCAGCCAGGATGACAGCGCCTGGGGACTGCAAAGCAGGTGCTTTTCCCTTGCACTCCCTGATCCTCTGCTGAGGGCTATTTTTAAATCTTTTTGTTTCCAACAGAGGTAATATTGATTGTCAGTAGCAGCGATTTACACTTCATTTAGGGAGTAGGTTCACAGTCTCAGAGGCCTGTGACCCCCTCCCCAAGCACCCAACCCTCCCCAGTCCATTGTGCCCCTCCACACTCTGCCCTCCCCAACTCCCCTCTGCACCCTCACTTCCATATGTCATGTCCAGGGTTCCTTTTTGGTTCTCACCCCCTCTTTCTTATTTTGGCTTCTCATACTCTGCCTGAGTGCAATCATCTGACATGTCCTTTCCCATCTCACTTGTTTCCCTCAGCCAGTCCCCTCCAGTTCCATCCATGGTGTTGTGAGTAGAAAGATGCTGCTACCCCTTTTTAGAGTGAGTGATCTTGCTCTGATATGTGCACCCCATCTTAACCCACTGCTGGCTGCTGGGCTCCGAGGCTGTTCCCACAACGGGGTGCTGGGCAGTGGGTGAGTACAGCAGTGCGTGGGGCCCCTCAAGGCCGAGTTCTGAGTCTCTGGAAAATGCCAAAGGGTGGAATTGCTGAGTTGCGTGTTGTAAGGTTTCTAAATGATTTATTTATTTTATTTACAAGAACAAAAACAAGAACTGGGGTGTAGGTCAGAAGTGCAGGATGGAGTTGTGAGGATTCAATAAAGACTGAGTGAGGAGCAGAACAGGCCAACTAACTGAAACACACTGCTGAAGGGAGCAGCCAGGAGATAGCAGAGGTCTGTCAAGCCATGTGGGTCAGTTCCCTGGCTGGGGATGGAACTTGTGCTGCAGTGGCTGGTGAGAGCTTGACAGCACTGAGATTTAACCCCTGAGACCTAGGGAAGCCCCATTTTTTAATGTTTTCAGAAGCCTCAACATTATTTATCTTGGAGCCTGGAACAGTCTGCATTCCTAAGGGCTTTTTTTTTTTTTAATGAAAATTATTTTAGGGTAGCTTGTAATTTGTGGAAAACTTATAAAACTCGCACAGTTTTTGTAATCCCCAGACACATATCCCCTGTTGTCAGTGTCTATTATCACCCTCTTATTTGTACAGCCCATGAAGGAACAGCGACATGTTATTACTAAACTCCGTGCTTGGATTGGGTGCCATTAGCTTGTGTTTCTGCTCCAGGCTCCTGTCCAGAAACTACACCAAGTCAAGTCCTCATCCTGTCTCCGAAGGCCCCTGGGCTGAGTCAGTCTCTCAGACTCCCCTAGGTCTTGTCGGGCTTCCTATTTGGGGTACTGCTCCCGTTTAGGGTAGAGGGGCCTCCCTGTGAGTTTGGCCCACAGGGGCCACGGGCTTGGGGAAGATCACAATGATGAGTCCACCCTCAGCAGCACAGTGGGGGAGACTGATGCACTTGTTCTTAACCAAAGAGCCCACCTTCCCCACCGGGACTAAGGTGGTGCCACCCACTGTCTCCCCATTAAGAGCTTTCTCTTCCAAGTCCCTTCCCAGTCTTTAGCAGGGAGTCACTGTGTGAGGCCTGCAGTTAAGGGGTGTTCTGTATACACATTTATATGCAGGCTTTGTGTAAACAAAGTTTTCAGGTGAGTTGCATAAATACCCAGTGATCAGCAGGTTTTAAGGTGAGTTGTGTTTACCTTTATAAGAACCTGCCAGATACCTGCATGGCGGCTGTGCCCTTTGGATTCCTGCTGGCAGTGACTGGGTCTGCAGTGCAAGCACCCACAGGGCAGGTTCACCAGGATTCGAACAGGCAGATGAAGAGTCCAGCAGCCCTCAGTTAAAGGTTTATTTACTTATGGATACAAGAGCTGGGGTACACACCAGAGGTGCACGTGGTGAGAGGGTTCACCAGAGACCGAGTGGGGAGCAGAGCAGGCAGATCTACTGAGATACACTGCTGAGGGGGGTAGTGGGCAAGAGGGGAGAGGTCTGCTGTGCCAGGTGGGTCAGCTCCCTGTTTGGGAATCGAACTTGTGCTGCAGTGGCTGTGGACAGCTTCATAATGCTGAGCTCTAACCAGCCTTGTCACCAGGGAGGGCCTGAGCCCCCAGAGCATTTTACAGGCTTTAATACTCTTGCAGGAGAGCAGGCAGGGAGGCTGGCTGCAAGGAAGCACTTGAGGGCCAGAGTGGGGGGTGTGGGGAGCTGGGGCTGGGGGCTGGGAGGAAGGCAGCCAAGCCTCCCAGCCCCCAGACTCTTTCTGCTTTCTCTGGCCTGCTGACAGTTGACAACTGGTAGTAATAAATTGCCTTGACAAAATGCAAACTCCAGGGAAAACCAGGTATTAGAAAATTGTGTGCCATCACTATGAGCTTGACAACTTTCTGTACTAATTTTTCCTTTGGGATCTTTGGAATATAAAAGAAATATGATTTTAAAATTTGATTCTAGAATAATAAACACAATGTTGCTATGACCTAGTGAAACAATGCATTACATTGAAAAATCACATATTAGTTCAAGATCCATTAATAAGCAAGAGAGTCTATGGACTTAATGTAACAGAATACAAAACAGTAATAGTTTTCCAGTTTTCTCTTTACAATAACCTTTGAAAAACTGCCACTTGATTAGTTTTAATTCATTATCAAAGTTATAACAAAGCTGAATGCTCACAATTATCCCAAAAGATTGCAACATGCTATTCCCACACTTTTCTTCCTGGCTTTATGTATTTCATTGCCAGCCCAGTCAGCAGGCTGAGTGCAGAAGGGAACCTGAGAACTCAGCTGATGGGCGGAGGAGCTGCTGGCACCACGTGAACAGCACAAGACTCCTCACTGCCGGGATTATTTTCATAAAAACATGTTTATTATTCCTCATACGTTTAAGATTGATCATTTTAGGTGCATAAAATTATACATGGGGGGTCCCTGGAAATGTAAGATGGTGTGTGCAGAGATTCTGAAAGGAAATTGGGAATCCGTGACCCAGACTCAGTGCCTGGGCAGCTGTCTCAGATCCCGGCCTGTGGATGGTCCTGGGCGGTGTCTGGGGCTGGTGCCCCTCCCTGCTCTATTGCTCCCTCCTCCCCCTGGAGTCTGGCCCTCTGCCCTGGAGCACAGCAGACGTCACTTCCCATTGCCTGAGTTCCAGGAACCAAGGGAACCTCTCCCACTGCAACTGCCCTTTCCTTCCAGTTTCTCAGGCCTGGTTAGTGAGGGCCATGGGGCCCCCACCCCTTCAGCTGCTACTCCTGGGTGCCCTGGCCCTTAGGGAGACCTGGGCAGGTGAGTGCAGCCTGGGGAGGGAAATTGCTGCTGAGGAGGGAGGGAGCCAGGGGACAGGGGCCCAGGGTGGCTGCAGCTGTGGCACCAGACCAAGTAGGGCCTGGTTCCCCCATAGCTGCCCCGTCCTCCTGGGCGGTCCTCTCCTGACCCCTTTCTGTGAGCAGCCCCCACACCCTCCTGTCTCCTGCTGCTCAGACTCTATTATCTCCTCTCTCACCGCCCCTTAACAATCTTACTAGCCCACCGGCCCTCCTCCCCTCAGAGCCTATTTCCCCGGACCCTGACAGGGAGGAGGGTCAGCCCCGGTCTCCTCTCCCGCCCCCAGACCCCCACTCCCTGAGGTATTTACACACTGCGATGTCCCGGCCCGGCCTCGGGGAGCCCCGCTTCATCGCAGTGGGCTACGTGGACGACTCGCAGTTCGTGGGGTTCGACAGTGCCGCTGAGGGTCGGAAGCTGGAGCTGCGGGCGCCCTGGGCAGAGCAGGAGGGGTTGGGGTACTGGAACAAGGAGATCCAGAGGTTTGAGCGCAGTTCCAGGACTGCACGAGTCCTCCTGCTCAGCCTGCTGGACCACTACAACCACAACCAGGCGGGTGAGTGAGGGGCGCGACCCCCACCCCCAGGGACCTGAGGGCGGGGAACCCCAGACTCGGAGTGCACGCCACACCCCGAGACAGGTCAGCCCACTCCGGCTTCGACAGGGAGGAGCCCTCGTCCTCTGATCCTGAGGTCTCAGTTTCAGTTTCAGCTCAGGGTTATTCCCGGCGGGAGGGTGCTGGTGACCGCGGGGCTGACACTGGGGACAGGGTCTTACACCCTCCAGGAGATGTACGGCTGTGAGCTGGGGCCCGACGGGCGCCTCCTCCGCGGGTATGACCAGTTCGCCTACGAAGGCACCGACTACATCGCCCTGAGCCAGGACCTGCGCTCCTGGACTTGGGCGAGCACCGCGGCTCAGACCACCCAGCGCCAGTGGGAGGCGGCGGGGGCGGGAGAAGTAGATCACAGGAGGAGCTACCTGGAGGGGGAGTGCATGGAGACGCTGCGCAGATTCCTGGAGCACGGGAGGGAGATGCTGCAGCACTCAGGTGAGAGGGGCCCGGCAAGACATCCAGGGCTCCAGATTTCCCTCAGGCTGATGCCCCTGGGGACATGAAGTAACTGTCAGAACTCAGACCTCCTGGGCAGAGAGGAGGAGACCGCCTGGGTGTCTGTTCTGTGCTAGAGAGACTCCCTAGGAGCACCCTACTTTTCCTGAAGGACTGTTAAGGAATCCAATTTCTCCTGGTGGAGGGGAGACCACCCCTGAAACCACCCTCATTGCATTCTTTTGACCTAGCTGCTATCTTGGGAACCATCCTTTCTCCAGATGTCTTGTTTTTTGATCTAATTAACATTTCAGATCTGACTCCTGCTTTTTTGAGTCCACAGGTCAGAAGCAGTCTGTTCACCCTCTTAGAGAACTGCATCTTCCTATCCTGAGCTCTTACTCTGATTCTAGAACATTCTAACATACAGATTACCCAGACTCCCCACATCAGGCTGGTTTGTAGGTTCTGTGTTTCCTCTTCCAAACCCATTGCCGAGTCATACGAGTTTTCAGGGTCCATGAGGGAAGAACCCAAAGTGTGGATGTTCTCAACTTTTTCAGACCCTCCAAACACATACGTGTCCCACCACCCCACCTCTGACCAGAAGGTCACCCTGAAGTGCTGGGCCCTGGGCTTCTACCCTGCGGAGATCACCCTGACCTGGTATCGAGATGGGGAAGACCTGACCCAGGACATGGAGCTGGTAGACACCAGGCCTGAGGGGAATGGAACCTTCCAGAAGTGGGCAGCTGTGGTGGTGCCTTCTGGAGAGGAGCAGAGATACACGTGCCATGTGCAGCATGAGGGGCTGCCGGAGCCCCAAGTCCTGAGATGGGGTGAGGAGGGGGCTTGGGCACAGAGGCTGTCCTCCCAGGGTCAGGGCCCTTCTGAACCCCTTAGAGGGTCAGGTGAGGCCTGGGGCTCAGGGTCTCCCCTCCCATTCCCTTCCAGAGCCCCCTCCTCAGCACTCCACCCCCACCGGGGGCCTCATTGCTGGCCTGGTTCTCCTTGGAGCTGTGCTCACTGTGGTGGCTGCAGCTGTGATGTGGAGGAAGAAGTGTTCAGGTAGGGAGGGAGTGGGGGATCCTATCCCCTGGGGCTTTCAAGTCCCAGGGAGAATTTGTCCCACCTGTTTAAGGGAAGCACCATATGCACAGCGTTCCCAGTCTGGAGCTGATTGCTAACCCTTTTTTTGTAAAAAGTTATGGAAATGAATCAAAGACTTTACCTTGTTAATTCTGGGGATGGGCCCTAATTCCCAGCAGGTGCCAGAGGGGAAAGTCCCTGCTGAGGACAGACCTGAGGAGGCTGTTGGTCCAGTCGCCCCTCTTCACCTTTCTTTTTATTTCCTGGTTCATGGGAAATATCGGCCACACACGTGTTACCTAAAGGGGATTTGGTCCAGTCTCCCATCTCCCAATCTCCTTTCTTCATTTTCCCAATTCTGACCTGAGGCTTTAAATCACAGTTCTGGAAACCTCCCTGTGGTTCAGGATTAGAAAATTCCTTTAGGTTTGTGACCTGACTCCCCCCTGGTCCCACATGATGTCTCTTCCCACAGGGCGACAAGGAGGAAGCTACACTCAGGCTGCAGGTGAGTGTGGATCAGGGGTTTGGTCCCTGAGCCCCTGGGACAGTGTAGATGGAGCCCCTGGGCGAGTCACCCCATTAGCCCCTCCTGTGGTCTCCTCTCTCGTGGCTCTGACCAGGTCTGTGTTGTTCTCCCCCAGGCAGCCACAGTTTTCCAGGGCCCTGATGTGTCTCTCAGCCCTAAAGGTGAGGACCCTGAGGCCTGTGTGGGAGGGGCTGGGGCAGAGAGGAGTGACCAGGCAATGGGAGAGCTGTGAGGGGACATTCTGAGGATGGGTGGGCTATGGCGAATCCACATTCACCTGGATTTCTTCAATATGATTATCTTTCACAGTGTGAGGCAGCTGCCTTTTGTGGCACTGAGAGTGATAGGATTTCTTCTCCCCCCAGATTTGTGATTCATGATCTCCTGGTTCAAACTATAATGAGAAACTACTTCACACCTGTGAGAATGACCCAAATCAAAAAGGCCAGAAACAACAGATGCTGGTGAGAATATGGAGCAAGGGGAGCAGTTTTGGGGGTGTGGACTGGTTCAGCCCTTATAGAAATCCATGTCAAGATTCTGAAAAGACTGAAGTGGATCTGCTGGAAACGCCCAGGTTCCTCCCCGGTGTCTGGAAGGGCACAGACTCAGGCTGAGATGGGAAACGCCACCCCCTGGTCACTGAGCACCAGTGACAGCAGCCAAGCTGGGCAACCCCTCAGTGCCCACGACAGGGGAGAAGGCAGGGTGGGATCCAGCTTCAGATTCACCAACTCCTGCCATCTCGGCAGCGGGGCTGGCGCTGGAGGGGACTGTGCCGACCCCCCGTGGGGTCAAAGGAGAGAGACAGATGCCTGAAGGCATCACTACATGTGGACATGGAGATGCCAACCCACACAGAGGCCAGGTGGGGCAGACTTCAATCCTAACCGTGCACCCCCAGTCCGTGCCTGGTGCTGGCCAGGGCTGCAGACCAGCCCGGGCTTCCTGGCCCAGCTGCACTGATGGGGACTGAACATCTCTAGCTTGGATCAGACTCATTTGATGACAAAGCCTGATGCCAGCTGACTGGGTCCCCCATTGTGTCTTGTTGCGCCTACAACACCCCAGGATCCTCCATCCCCTGCTGTTTGCTGGGCTGTGACAGATCTTGTACTTGATACTGCAGGTTATGATTTTTACAGCAGTTTTATGTCCAACCAAAGGGCCAGAAGGTGACATCTTGGGACAAACTGTTCCTCTCCTGACTGACAAGCATTGGTGCTTTGAACCTTTTCTCTTTGCAACACAACTTTTATTTTGTCTACGATCATTCTGTACTGAACCACCCACAGTTTGTAAAGAGCTGAGTCTACTGAGAACCATGTTTGCTGTCACCTCATTACCAGGATTAAGTCTCCCACTGTTTTCCAGTTCCTGTGGGGCTGAGCCTACAGCATATTACAGGCTGGACCCAGCTCATCCCAGTGTGCTGTCCTCCCTCTTCCTCAGTGACATGTCCCCTGACAGGCCTTCACCACAGACCCTGTGTGAGCGCGTCCCCAGACCTCTCCTCCAGGAGATTCCTGCTCACCCATAGGCCACGCTCCTCCCTGTGGGGCCTCTTCAGCGTCTACCTGTCCCCTCTCCCCTCCCATCTTCCCGCTGCACAGCGGGTTTATTTAGGTTGTACATCTCAGTCACTACTGGCACAACTTCCACTCATGATGGTGATTTCTGTGTCCTCAAGTCTGAAAGGGAGAAGATAAATCTTGTGACATTAATGTATGGGAGCAACAGACTTTTACAATGGTATCTTATCCATTATTTAATAAATGAGCTAAAATAAATAAAAGTTGGTTATGGCATTAAAAGATACACACTCAAAAAGCTCACCCTTGAATCTACTGCATGACCAGCTGCCAGAGGGCAGTGGGGGGTGAGGACATGGTGGGGAGGGGCACGCGGACCGTGATGGTGACTGTGGTGCTGGGGGTGTGGTGCAGGCAGCGACCCTGCCTCCTACACCAATGTTACCTCAATAAAATATTTGTGTGTGTTTTTAAGAGCTCCGGGAGTGAGTTATGACAGGGACCCCGACATACCTGAGCCTGCCTGTCTCCAGGATGTGGGCGGCAGCTGTGGCTGCATATAGCCAGGTCAGCTAAGGATGGGATTCCAGCCGCAGGCCTCACACTCGGTTTATTTCTGTTATTTATCGCTCTGGGCCTGTTCTCTTCCATTCTTTAGAGAAAACCAGAATTATGAAAAATTGATGCCATCACTACTAGACAGCTTACACTACTCATTTTTCTTTTGATATTTGTGATTAAAAAAATAAAACCTTTTTCGATCATTTGATCCCAGTGTAATTAACAGGGAAGAGCTAGCGAAGCAACACACTACCCAAAAAAAATCACACATGAGCACAAGTTCAGCCAATATGCAAGTGAGGCCTATGGAAATGCAACAGAACAGGGATATTCCATGATATTATTACAGGCTTCCCTTTGCCAATAACTCTTGAGAAACTCCCACCTATATTGTGGTCTGCTAATCCTAGGTGGCTTCTCCAGCCTCCATTTTAAGAGCACAACCCTATGAGGCACCTTTCATATCAATTAAAAGCATAAAGCTGAGTCTCCCTGGGAAGGGTCTGCATCACAGGTATGACCAGGAACACCCAGGTGGCTGAGGACGGATGCAGAAACTTACTCCTGACTTACACATCACGAGGTATGACCAGGAAAGCCGGGGGGCGTTGATTGATGTATAAGGAAGGACCCCAGGAGCTGGGGAGTCAGGGCTTGATCTAATACCAAGCTATCAGCAGATGAGCAATATAGTTCCCCCATCCCTCTGCTTCTTCTACTTCCCCCTCTTATTCTGCTTCCCCATATGACTAACCCTGTATGACCGTTGTGTCACTAATAAGACCAGGATCTTGCTCTTCAGCAGCATCCTGCATTATGTAGCGGCTCCACGACTCCTGTTTCTTTATCAGTGAGAGGTACTCAATGCAACGAGAAACAATATCAATTTCTGCAGACACAACCTGGGGTTTCCTCTTCTTGGGGTTATCAGGACTTACTTATTTTTACGGGTCATCCAGGCCTGCCCATGGAGTCAAGCTTCCTCGCCTCCTTTGGAGGTCTCTGGAACCCTGCAAACAAAGTAGAGGGCTCCCCTCTTCTTGGTTCAGCTCTGTTTGAAGTTCCTGGCATTCTACTTGAATGCCAATCAAAGTCACTGAAACACATTTCCAATTTCTTTACCTTAAGCAGAGAAAATTCTCTATTGAAATTATGCAAAAAGACTTGAGTAGTAAAAATTACTACTGTAATTTTTATGTTGTGTTGGTATCAAGGGCAGAGAAAAATGGAAACACAAGTTAGTTCTGCTAAAAAAAATAAACAAATAAATAAAAATTGCAACATTATTGTACATCCTGGTCATTCAAAACAAGAAAACTTCCTTTGAATCAAACAAATAAAAAAAGTCAGTATTATTTCAAACAAAACAGTAAAAATCTGTCTATTCATTTGTTGTGGAAAAAAATTTTCTTCACCTTCAAATGTTCAATCAATTGGAATCAGTTGAGTTCTTTTACTGGAAACAATTCTTCTTTTTTTTTTTTTTGTCTTCAGAAACAATTTCTGCAAGTACCAAACCAATAAATATAGTATTATAGGACAATGATCAACATTCACAATTCATATACATATCACATACATACATATCAAAAACTAAGGTTTTTTTATGCACATTTTAGAAAAGCAAGGTCAACATATGTGTTCATGCCAAGGTTTACCTTTTTCCCAAGTGACAATGCTTCCTTCCCAGTCTTAGTTTACTATGTGTACCAAATCGGACAATTTGATCTGAATGCTTTTCCCAGAGGGAAAGGGAGAAATTTTGTGGAGTGTCTCAGGAGCTCTAATGAGGTTCCACAACATTTCTTACGATGAACCAAATGGCAAACTACCAAACTGTATTTCAATTTAAAATTCTGGGAAGTTTGGTCACAAATAAAAAAACAATAGCAGCAATGACAATCTCAATTTCTGTGAAAGCTCCGGCTCAGTTCAGTAAGACAATGTTGACAGTCAAACCACAGCCTTTTAGTTTTTATTTCTTTTTTCTTAACTAGAGACTCTTTTGATCTCAAAAACCTTAACTATTCCAAACTTCCATTTGCCTGACATTATCAACCCAAGTAAGAGAAAAAAATTCTACCAGTGTAACCTGTTCAAAAACAAATTAGTTACCAGGAACATTACATTTTCATTTGTTTGTGTGTTTACAATATATAGGCACCATTCAAACCAATTTAGAACACCCCGAAGCCAAGACAATTAAACACAAGGAAAAGACATAAGACATGCAACATATAGACACAAGTTTTCTTAGTTATGTACGTAAAATCATAGTAACTGCAGTTATACTCATATAGGCCAAAATGATAAAAACTAAAACAAGCAAAAAGAATAAATGAAAATTTTTCAAGGAAATGTCAAGATCAAGACTGAAGGCCTTCTTGTGTAGTAAAATCAAATCACTAAAAAAAAAAAAAAACTGCTAGCATAATTGCACGCTGTCATTGTTATGTTCCTAAATGTTTTCAAAGGAAGAGGACTGGTTAGAGCATGTCTGCCATTTTAGGGTTCCTTCAGAAAGTGCATTTTGAAGCACACGGCTACATTGCTGGAAAAGAAGAAAAGTTACTACCATGTAAGTTTTTGTCTTTTTCTTAAAGAAAATCTCAGGTCTTCAATGAGTTCCCAAGGGGGTTATTTTAGTGGACCGTTTTAGATCTAGTGGAGCCCCGGGCCCCCCCATTCTTCATCTGAATCTCTCCTGTGTACCACCACTTGTCTCCTTTCCTCGGAGGTCATCTCTTGATGTCTACTCTCCTGTCCATATTCCCTGCTCTCTTCATGTGAGCCTCTGCTCTGAGCCATCATTTGTCTCCTTTCCTCCTTCCTCGGTTCTGGATCCCGTACATTCCATCTATATTCTCTCCGGTAACTTCTGCGTGAATCATCATGTTGAGGTGCCACTGGCCTTCTTTCTTGCCTCCTGTCGTTACTGCATTCCTGTTGACCTGTAATCTGGGACAATTGTACTTCCAGTGACCTCTTCCCTGCAGTAAGCAGTGTTTTCTCCTCTATTTTTACAGGTTCTGCATTTGTCACATGTCCATGTCCTGCCTCCTAGGTCCACCTGCCATTCTGTTACTGTTTCCCTGAAACCCTGTCCTGTGCTCTCTCCGTACAAAAACAGTCACAGGTTTGGGTCTCTTTTCCTCTCTGTTATTATACACTCTAAATGCCAACTCTACTAACTGGAATGGACTCATCTCCATGACGCCATCCACCTTTGCTAACTTTCTCCTGATGTCTGGGACAATCTCACCCTATTTATCCCCCAATGTCCCAGAATTCCTGCTAGCTCCGCCCTTGGGTCCTCACAGTTCTCTCCCTGGTACTGCTGGGAGTTGTAGTTTCCAATCACTGGAATAGGGGGTAGAGTCCAGAAAGCTGGAGTAGGGGGTGGGGTCCACAAGACTCTGCAGAGTTCCTTTAGGACACCCTTCTCCTTAACAGAACTACAAATCCCATCAATACCAAGGAGAAGCACGTGGGGACATGAGGGTGGAGCTCAGAGCCACGTTAGGATAAAATCAGACATGTGGGCTCTGGGGGTCTCTTGGCCTGGTGGTTCGTGGTTGGTTTGTTGGCTCTCTATCAGTTTTCAGTGTGCTACTTTTTATAGAGCTCCAACATTTCCATCCCCCTTCATTGGGGTCCCAATGACCCAGACAGCCACCTCTGGTGCTGGGGATTCTACATTCTGTTGGTGGGGTCGATCAGCCTCCTCCCAGGCTTTCCCAGAACCCACCTCTGCTCATCCAAGGTCAATAGAGTTTGCAGCATTGACTGGATATCTGCCCAGTTGGGGCAGTGGGAGAGGAAGATAGAGGCAAAAAAAATTTTCCATCCTCTTAGGATCCTGCCTAATTTAGGAAGTCTGCAGTACCGAGAGGATGATGTGACCAAAAGTCCCCAGCAGGCTGTCCTTGTGCATTTAAAACACCCACCAGCCTTAGTCAAAGAGGGAATTGCCCTGCTTCAAGGCGATTCTTATTGCCAAAGTGGCTGCTCTGTCTAGAATGGGAAGGAAAAGCCATGTTAGTTACTTCTCCAGAGGGCAGTAGAGCCTGTGAAGCCTTAGGAGTCCCACAGGAGCCTTAGGAGTGTCCACAGGACGGGCATTGCTATGTAGAGAAGGATTTAGGTGAAGGGTTTTAGGTGTTCTGCAAATGAAAATCCTCCTCTTCTAACTCTCTCCTCAGGCAGCCCTCAGGGAAAGGCTTATCCATTCTCTGTGCCTTTCTAGCTTGGGCCATACCTAATTTATGGAGGGCATCTTGTATCTGGGTGTGCATAGCTGGATAAATAGAATCAAAAGCAATACAACTCTCATTTTTTTCATATGGTTAATAGCTGAACTAAGGGCCTGTATTTGCTGCCCCATGTTCTCAGTAAGAGCTGGAATTTGTTGCTTGAGAGCATCCTCTATTTCCTCTTACAGAGCCAAAAATGTAACAAATGACACTTATACAAAGTATCAAATATGGTTTGTAAATCACCCATAGATGAGAACAAAAGCAGAAGCATTTGCCATAAACCAGGTTTCACCAGATTATTGATGTTAATAAAACCGGTGGTCATATTCAAAGGAAAAAGGGTAGTTGAAGCAGTTAGAAAACAGAAAGAACTCAAGCTAGGGATAAAGCTGCTTATAGTCATGTTGCCAGACCCAAGCGAGAGCTGAACACAATGAAAAAAATCCCCAAATTTCTCAAGACCTGAAACAAAGAAGCCGCATGTCCTGCAGACCTACACCTAATGTGCAGGTACTTTGGGCTGGTCAACCACTGTATAACTTGGTCAACCACACTGGATGCCAAACTGCTACAGAGCAACCCAAAGCAAATTGGATTGCCTGTGTTGGGGTCCTCACCCCTGTGCTTAAGATTCACCTGCACTGCAGACATACACAAAAAGGTCAATAATGGGTGTATTTACAAGGGGAAAAGAAAAGGAGCAACCTAGGAGAGAGAGAGTGAGAGAGAGCGTGCACACCTCAGCCCAACCCTCCAAGGCAGGCCCAGCCTGAGCCCAGAGGAGAAGGGCTGACAGTGCTACAAGTTCTGGGTGCAGGAGAGGAGCAAGGCCCCAAGTCTGAGATGTGGTGCTCACGATCTCATTCTCCAGGGCAGTGTCTGGGGAAAGGAAGTTTACTGCTGGGGACTCCCCAGTTCTGGTACAGAGCACCCCAGTGTGAACTGGGCTGCCTGTCTGTGGGGTCTCACCCACATGCTTAAATTCAGTTGTACTGCAGGCACCCACAAAAGGGTCAATAACAGGTTTATTTACAAAAGGGGAAAGTAAAGGAAACAACCCAGGGAAAGGAGCGGGATACAAAGTCACTGGAATATCTTACCGTATGGGCTAACTTGGAGCTCTGGTAGCAAACTAACTGAAGTCACACAGTCCAGAGCACCATTTCCCAAGCGAGAGAGACCCTTGGACAAAATGGCCCCTATTAATCCCTCAAAGTCTCAGAATTCCTGCTTAGCTCCACCCTTGGGTCCTCACAGTTCTCTCCCTGGTACTGCTGGGATTTATAGTTTTCAGTTACTGGAGTAGGGGTGGAGTCCAGAAAGCTGGAGTAGGAGATGGAATCCACAAGACTGCAGCGTTCCTTTAGGACATCCTTTCCCTTAATAGTTCCACTTTTCCCTCTTACATACAATGGGTTATTAATTATTCTAAATTAAATGAATTCTACTACAATCAGAGCAAGGTGGGTGAGCAGGACAGGAGGGGCCAGGTCATGACCCACACCCCAGACAGCAGGGTACCCCAGAAACCGGGTCAAATGGTCCCCCCAGACCAGTGGGCCCTAAGGTCCTCCTTCTTGGCTACTGGTAACTCACCCCAGTTCTCACTCCCCATTGCCTGGAGGGTTTCCATGACAGCCAATCAGCATCTCCACGGCTCCAGATATAAATTTTCCAGCCAGCCAGCTTCTCCCAGGACTGAAGAGCACTGGTCATGAGGTCCCCATCTCTCCTGCTGCTGCTCTCATCAGCCCTGGTTCTGACAGAGACCTGCACAGGTGAGTGCAGACTCAGGAGGAAAAAGGCCTCTGAAGAGGCAACTCTTCCCAGCAGAGGGTGCAGGACCCCTGACAGGAACAGTTCCAGCTTCACTGACCCTGTGGTCCCCTTGACTTCCCTGTCCTGATCCGTTTCTGTCCCTCCCAGACTCTTGCCTCCTCCCTCCGCTACCTCCTCTCTTCTCGATACCCCGGCCCCCTCCACCCTCCCACCCCCAGCCCAGTAGCAATCTTTCTCACCCTGCTGCCTCATTTCAATCTCAGGAGCCCCTTTGCCCTCTTCCCCTCCAGTTTCTTCTCCCAGGGTCAGCCCAGTCTCACCCCTCCCGCCCTCAGGTCCCCACTCCCTGAGGTATTTCTACACCGTGATGTCCCGGCCGGGCCTGGGGGAGCCCCGCTTCCTCACTGTGGGCTACGTGGACGACACGGAGTTTGTGCGATTCGACAGCGATGCTCCGGGTCAGAAGAAGGAGCCCAGGGCGCCCTGGGTGGAGCTGGAGGGGCCGGGGTACTGGGCGCGGGAGACGCGGAAATCACGGAAAAACTAGCACGGTTCCGAGTCAGCCTGAGCAACCTGCGCCGCTACTACAACCAGAGCGCGGCGGGTGAGCGGGCGGCGGGGCCAGGTCACCCCCACCCCACGGAGGGGCGGGAACCCCAGACCCCGGGTCACAGGGTCCCCCGACACTGGTGGGCCCGCCCGGATCCCGGGAAGATCCGGGGTCTGGCCGTCACCCCGAGGTTTGCGAGTCAGTTTCCGGTTATTCCCGGCGGGAGGGCGGGGCGGGGCGAGCGCGGGCTGACGCGGCGGGACAGGGTCTCACACCATACAGAGGATGTACGGCTGCGAGCTGGGGCCCGACGGGCGCTTCCTCCGTGGGTTTGACCAATTTGCTTACGATGGCGCCGATTACATCGCCCTGAACCCTGATTTGCGCTCCTGGACCGCGCGGGATACCGCGGGATATTGCGGCTCCTGGACCGCGCGGGATACCGCGCGGGATACAGCGCCAGTGGGAGGAGAAGAGAGAAGCAGATCTCTGGAGGAGCTACCTGGAGGGGGCGTGCGTGAAAAGGCTGCTCAGATACCTGGAGAATGGAAAAGAGATGCTGCATCGCGCAGGTAAGAGAGGCCAGGAGGCCGCCCGCCCTCCCTGAGGCCAGCACCCCACAGGAAACATGGAGTGTAGATCACAGCAGCGCCCTCCCTCTGGTCAGGGAAGGAGGAGACCCCTGGGTTTCCTGAATGGCCCAGGGGACCCTGTTTTTCCTCTCAACAGCTAAGGAGTCCAGTCTCTCCTGAGCCCAGAGGAGACTGGCCCTGAGATCACCCTGCACCTTAATCTTTTGAGCCGGCAGCCACTTTGCAAACCATAAGTTTCTCTCTCAAGGTCTTTATACTGATCGGAGGACATTTTTCTGATATGACTCTTGATTTTCTTTCTTTTTATTTAAAAATGTATTTATTTATGCATACAAGAACTGGGGTACAGACCAGAGGTGCAGGTGCAATGAGATTTACCAGAGAGAGTGGGAATCAGAACAGGTGGTTTGACCAAACTACATTGCAGCCAGTTAGATAGGAGGGGTATGCTGGGCCATGTGGGTCACCCCTCAGCCCCGCCCTGTCCTCCTGGGGATGGAACTCCTGCTGCAGTGGCTGCAAATAGCTTCATAGTGCTTTCCTTCAACCCATGTTCTGAGTCCCCAGGTCGGGAGTAAACAGCCTGTGCTCTCCTCCTTGGAGACTGTGCCCTCCTATCCACAGCTGTCGCCCTAATTGTAGAACTTTCTAAGGAATAAGAGATAATCTCAGACTCCCCAGACCAGGCTGGTTTCTAGACTTTGTCTTTCCTATTTCCACGCCCACTGCCCCATCCCTTCTGAATATGATCTTATGAGACTTTTAGAGTCCATGAGGATAAAACCAAAAGTATGACTCTTCATGCCCTTGTCCACAGGTCCCCCAAAGACACATGTGACCCTCTACCCCATCTCTGACCATGAGGTCACCCTGAGGTGCTGGGCCCTGGGCTTCTACCCTGCGGAGATCACCCTGACCTGGCAGCGAGATGGGGAGAACCTGACCCAGGACACAGAGCTGGTGGACACCAGGCCTGGGGGGGATGGAACCTTCCAGAAGTGGGTGGCTGTGGTGGTGCCTTCTGGAGAGGAGCAGAGACACACGTGCCATGTGCAGCATGAGGGGATGCCAGAGCCCCGAGTCCTGAGATGGGGTGAGAGAGGGATATGGGCAGAGAGGCTTTTCTCAGGGGGGTCAGGGGCTCTTCTTGGGACATTCAGAAAGTCAGGGTAAGGCCTGGAGCTCAAGGTCTCCCTTCCCCTTCCCTTCCAGAGCCCCCTATTCAGTCCTCCATCTCCACCATGGCCTGGTTCTCCTTGGAGCTGTGCTCACTGGGGCTGTGGTGGCTGCAGCTGTGATGTGGAGGAAGAAGCACTCAGGTAGGTGTGGACCTGTAGTGTGTCCAGGACCTGGGGTGCACCTGTGAAGGATAAATCAGAGGGATGACTGCTATGCCCAGCATACAGTATAGCTTTATTTTGCATTGTGCTCTTTATATACTCTACATTGTGCTCTTTATATATTCCACATTATCAAGTTGTAAAATTGCATATTGACTTAATTTGTCTAGATATTCTCAAGCTATCACAATAGCATATTGACTTATTCTAACTCTGTATCTGGTGTTCTAATTCTTGGAACACCCTGTCCAGCCCCAGATGGCCGAGCCCTCGCATTCACCCAGACACCTCTCTTGATGGGCTCTTGTATATCTTTCTCAGACGTGGCTGCTTGCTTATGACCTATTTCCTCACACTCTTGGAGCTCAGACACGGCGCTGGAGAGCGTCCCCAAGGCCATGTGCTTTCACCTGCCTTTTGGTATCCAAGTCCAGATGCCAGTCAAGGCCATGCAAGAGCTCTGCAACAGTAGGGAATGGAGTGGGGGATCATGTTCACTGGGGGCTTTCAAGTCCCAGGGAGAATGTGCCCCACCTGTTTAGTAGGATGGATCATCCACACACCTGTGTTGCCCAGTCTGCAGACCCTCACTCTTGTAATTCGCTTGAGAAATGAGTCACCAGCTGTTTGCCTTGTCATTCTGGCCATGGGCCTGTTTCCCAGCAAATGTCTTAGCTGAAGGACCCTGCTGCGGACAGACTCCAGCAGGCAGTTCTCCTCAGTGTCCTTTCTTCATACACTGCCATGATTCATTAGTCACATTCTAAAAACTTCCCTGTGGCCCAGACTTGGAGATTTCTTTAGCACTTCATGGGCTGACTCTTCCCTGGTCTCACACGCTGTCTCTTCCCAAAGGGAGACAAAGAGGGAGCTACACTCCGGCTGTAGGTGAGTGTGGATCAAGGGTTTGGTCCCTGAGCCCCTGGGACAGTGTAGATGAAGCCCCTGGGGGAGTCACCCCATCAGCCCCTCCTGTGGTCTCCTCTCTCGTGGCTCTGACCAGGTTCTGTGTTGTTCTCCCCCAGGCGGCGACAGTGCCCAGGGCCCTGATGTGTCTCTCAGTCCCTAAAGGTGAGACCCTGAGGCCTGTGTGGGAGGGGCTGGGACAGAGAGGAGGGACCTGGTTATGGGGGAGCTGGTGAGGGGGGCAGTATGAGGATGGGTGAGGTTTTGACAACACTGACACTTAGTCAAATTCACCTGAATTTGTTCCTGACCAGTTTCCTTCAGAGTGAGACAGCTGCCATGTGGGTTATAAGATTTCTCTCACCCCCATTGTATAACTTTAGGAAACTCTGGTTTATTTAATTTTGATTTTTAGCTGTCAATGATTGATTTTAAATTTTTATAGTAATTAATCTATTTGTTTCTTTACATCATTGTTAGTTTTTGTGTAATATCTGACTCTCTGTCAGTCTGGTCCTCACATTTCTCCTCGCCACAGCACCCTGAGGCATCACCTCAGTTCCTGGGCTCTTCCTGCCCTGTTCTGACCCTTCCCCGTTCCCGGTGTCACCAGCTCTGGGTCCTCGGTCAGGCCCTGCCCATCCCACTGCCAGGTCAGGGTGATCTCTGCAGGGTAGAAGCCCAGGGCCCAGCTCCTCAACGTGACCTCGTGATCAGAGGTGGGTGGTGGGTCCTGTGTGTCTTTAGAGATTCAAGAGAGAACAAATATTAGAAACCCTGTAATATTTATCTTTTTCCTTCTTACTTATTTCTCTTAGCACAATCCTTTCTAGTTCATTCACATCATTTAACCTACATGAGCTTAATTTTCCTGATCACTGAGTAGTATTCTATTATATACATATATCTATATCACATCTTTTAAAAAAAGTTCTTTTCGGTGCAGCAGACCTCTCCTGTCTCGCCTAGTGCTCCCTCAGCAGTGTATCTCAGTGGATCTGCCGGTGCTGTTCCCCAACTGTCTCTGGGGAGTCTCTCACTGTCCATACCTCTGGCCTACCCCCCAGGCCTTATAGGTATAAATAAATAAATCTTCACAAAAATTAAAAACATGAACGAATTTCTTTTCTTACTTTGCTGTAGCCCCCATCGTTCTCCCATCAGCTCATCACCCTGAACAATCCCCACACTCCCTGTGTTCCTCCTCCTGTTCTGGCCTCCTCCACCCCTCCCTTGCTGTGAGCCTCAGATGTACAGTTAGTTTTTGTGCTGTGATTTTTTCTAAATCTTGTGTTTTTTTTTCTTTAGATTTCACATGTAGGTGAGACCATGTGATATTTATGTCATATGAAATATTCCTTCTGACTTAATCCCTTTCAACTCCATCTGTGTGGCCAAAAATGGCATGAATTTGTCCTCTTTTTTTTTTTTTTTTACCACTGAGTAGTATTCCATTATTTAAATATTTCAAACTTCTCCATCCATCCATTTGTAGATTTGGGGGTATTTGGGTTGTCTCCATGTCTTGGCTACTGTAAATAGTGCTGCAGTGATCACAGGAGTCAGGTTTCCTTAGTGTTTCTCTGTTTATGGGGTAGATTCCTGGGAGTGGAATACCAGGATCACATCGTAGATCCATGTTTAGTGTCTGAGGAGCCTCGGCACAGCTTTCCACAGTGGCTGGGCCAGTTTGCCTCCCACCAATATCCGAGAGGGTACATTTATCTCCATATCATTTACAGCATTAATTGTTTCAGAGTTTGTTTATTTTTCGCGTGGGCCCCTCTCACTGGAGTGAGGTACACCACACCTTATGCTCCATCAAGACCCCCTGATTCAAAACACAACGTGAAACCACGTCACACCTGTGTGAATGGCTCATGTCAAAAAGACCAGACACAGTGAGGATGTGGAGAAAAGGGAACAGCCTTGCACTGTGTTTGGGGGATGCAGTCTGGCCCAGCCCTGAAGAAAAACAGTACCCAGGTTTCTCAGAGAATGAAAGTGGACACAGCAGCCCACACCAAAGCGCTCACCTGTAGAGCACACACCCCACTGTGAGGCCCCGCTCTCCTGTGACCCCTGCAGCCCACTCATGATGGCCGAGCTGTGGGGAGGGATGCGTGGAGGACAGACAATCCTCATCAGAACATAAACTCATGCCATCTGGGGGATTGTGGATGGGGCTGAAGAGGAGTGTTCCAGCTGAAATAAGCCAGAGGAGAAAGACAAGTATATCCTTTATATGTGGGCTTCCTGGCCCAGCAGTGCTGATGGGGACGACCCTCTCTAGTTTGGATCAGACTCATTGGATGACAAAGCCAGATTCCAGCTGACGGGGTCCCCCATTGTGTCTTGTTGCACCTACAAAACCCCAGAATCCTCCAGCCTCCGCATATTGCTGGAGCTGGGACGGATCTTGGACTTGATCTGCAAATAATTATTTTTATACCATTTCTATATCCAGCCACAGAACCAGAGTGTAACATCTCTCAACAAACTTGCTCTCCTGATTTTAAGACATATTGGTGCTTTTATTCTTTATTTCCTCTTTGTGACAATGAGCTATTACTTTGTCTATAGTCATTCCTGCATGAACCACCCACAATATTTAAAGAATCAAGTCTACTGAGAACCATGTTTCCTGTCTCGTCATCACCATGAAGTCTCCCACCATTTCACTGTTCCTGTGGGCTGAGAGGTTACAGCAAATTATGTGACAACACAGGAGTTTCCCAGCAGCTGGATTCAACTCAGTTTCCCTGTGTGGTCCCTCCTCTCTCTCACCAACAAGATCATCTCTGGATTCACAGAAGCCTCATCATAGACTTACAGATAGGTGACTCCACGGACCTCCTCTCTGGAAGCTTCCTACCCCACCTGCAGTCATGGTTTGTGTCCTGGGATGGCTTCTTCAGCGTCCACCCTCTCACCTCTGCCATTTCCACTACCCCAGCTGGTGTATTTAGGTTGTACGTCTCGGTCAATCTGCACAATTTCCATTCTTGATGGTGATTTCTGTCTCCTCAAATCTTAAGGCTGTTTATTAACTGCTACGTTCATCATATAGACCTTCACCTCTTTAACTACAACTGTGGACAATATTTTACAGTGTGGATTGAATTGAAGGCTCACTCAAAATTCCTTGCTCCTTTGAATGGGAAAGAACACAGTTATGTGAAAAAGGTAAAGTCAAAAACACTGCAGCCAGCAGGGAATGGTTATAAAAAATAATGAGTTGTTATTTTATGGAGAGTTTACAAAGATTGAGCAGATTATTGTCTTAAGGTCTCAGGACACAGTCAGCGCTGCACACGTGGCTCTCAGCTGCTCCCCCCACGGCTCTCGCCTCAGCCGGCTGGGTCTGCACAAAGCTGGGTCCTGTGCAGTGTGAGGGAGCCAAAGTCGACCCAGGCTTGTGCCCTCCAAAAGTGTCTCCTAACTCCTCTTCATATATTATCCTAGGTCCCGTGTTTCTGTTACAGGGCACCCTCTAATGTGAATTGGGTTGCCTGACTGTGACTCCTCACCTGTGTACTTAAAGGGACATATAGTAAGATTTAACGTCCAGCACACATATAAAGATTAATATTGTGTTTACTTACAAGGAAAAAGGAAAATGAGTAACTCAGGGGAAGAGAGAGAGAAAATTGTTTGCTAATGTGTCCTACCAGTTCGAAAGTCCTAGAACTCAACAGCATACTGAAGGCCAGTGAAAAGCTAAGAGCTCAACCGGAAGCTCTTAGGCCAAGAGATCCCCACAGCTCAGATGTCTGGTTTTATAACAACCCAAGCAAAATGGCCAGCAATCCTCCTAGCAATCCGGCCCTACCAATTATCCCTTTGG